TCTTTGTCCTGCGATGTATACATTGCAGGATTAGGTGGGACTGGGACACTGTACCCTGACCACTTCAATGAGCTGAAATGCTCTGGGTACCTATAGTGTCCCTTTAAGTGGTTCTTTAAGAATAAAAAAAGAGGAATGATTTAATGTGTCATTCTTAGTAAGTGATATTCGTATATTACTTTAGTATCCCTAAAGTATTCATATTATATTTATTTTAGCCAACACATCCCGTAGGGAGTGTAATAAAACATACCTTACAGATTGGCAAAGTCCTTTTTTTATTTACCTAAAGTATTTTAACTGTTTTCCTGATATTGTTCTAACCGAAGATGATCTGCATAAACTTAACTGTAGGTGCTATTGCAAAAGCTGGTTTCTTTCATGCCAGGTAGGACTTGTAATTTAAAATGAATATATATGGGTCTGTTTATTAAACCGTGATTTATGGAACACCGTAACTGTCACTTGAAACTCAGAAAAATAATTAGTTTGAAAAATAAAACTTGGTAGCTTTTTCCAGTAAACTGTTTAGCCTAAATTCTGAAAATCAGTGGTCAACATCTGATTAATAGACCACAAGGTAGCAGGGAATGTATATACTGTGCGTGTACAATGATTATTATTATTATTATCATTACCATATATATAGCGCCAACAGATTCCGTAGCGCTTTACAATATTATAAGAAGTGGGATTTAACTATAAATAGGACAATAACAAGGAAACTTACAGGAATGATAGGTTGAAGAGGACACTGCTCAAACAGCAATACAGGGTATACAACACAATAGGAAACATACAGGTTCATTCACTACAGTGAGAATTGCCATAAATTCAAAGAGAATTGTGAAATTCAAATTAAAATATATGAACTGGAAGCATAGTTCATTCTGAGAATTTTTCCAATTCAGTAGTTTTTACCCTAAATTGAAATTAACTTTATATTCCCAACAATACTCACTTCAGCAAATAACTTTTGATTGCTCACATTAGTAGTTTCTTCAGGCTTCCTAATATGTATTCTGCAAGTGTTTATTTTGTGAATTTTAGATGAATTCGGGACAAGACATGTAATGGTACTCTGGAAATAATCGACTGAAATACAATCAAGTAGCACACTCTCAATGCAGTCTACATATTTGAACTCTCCTAAGAAATGGAATCTCTGTCTCCTTGTAGAAACTTGTGAATTGAATGTGCTTACATAATACACTTGTATTACTTGAAAATCTAAATACAAATATATCTACAGCACTGTGCATATACACATGTTTAACTCATTCAGTGCTGGGCTCCTTGCAATCTGCATTGAAATATTATACATAGAAGGAATAAGGATTAATAATGATTTTTAAAAAAAAATAATTTAAAAAAAAAAAGAGAGAGAAATCTTCTTTAATTATTATTATTATTTCGTTTGGTATAGAGTGTCATGTGAAACGGGCTCAAGTCCCAATTTGGGCTAAATCATTGACATTTTATATGTGAATCCTGTCTGCTTAAATAAAGAAGTATTATTAAAGACACGCCAGTCCTTCGATTGTTGTTTAACATGTATCTCTGTATGTATAAAAAAGTGAACTGTAACATTTTGTCTGAACTTCATATTTCCTGGGTTTATTGTCTTGTATTCAAAAGTAAAATACTGTATTGTATATGTACTGTTTTGTTTTTCAGTCCTGCGAGTTTTCTGAAAGTGTGAAAAAAAATGTTATATAAATAAGTAAGCATTCCTCCCATGGCTGTACAGTCAATCATTCACCCCCTCAGCCCTGGAAGCTGGGAAAGGGATCTACTTGGGGTTATTACACTGTCTGTTCTGATGAATTAGTGAAAGTGTGAGCACTTTACATCTTATTAAACATCGCTGGGACATATAGAAATGGAAATGTGAGTGGTTTTCTTTACTCTTACCGACGTCATAAAATGCTGATGACTTGTCCCTGATGGTAGAAACTCGAATTATCCATTTTAACAGGGCTCGCTTAATGATGGACCGCGTTAATAATTAGACAGCATTTAAAGCATCAATGTATCCTGCATCGTGGGTAGGCTGATAGGACTTCATGGGAAAAACACAGAAATGAAAACAGATCTCCCACGGATATATTACACTGTTCATAAATACACAATACAACGTTACACCAAGATTCCTCTATGTTCTAAATTCTTTCTTAATCCGTTCACTTTCCTCGTTTATCTTTTCTCGTCTGTTGTCGTTTTCTTCTTCACTTCCTCCATCTCTTTCCCTATCACTTTCTTTCCTCTTCCCCATCTCCCACCATTTCCTCTTTAGTAATGCAATTCCCTTATTGCTATATCATTAAATTTTTTCATCTTCTTATATTTTCATTTTTAGATCGTCTTTGTTATCTTCTGTCCCATATTACCCATGATCTAGATGTATTTCCCTATTTCTCTTAAACTATATCCCTCCATTATTGTTGCTGAACCCACTCCCCTGTGATTAGAGCGTGTTCATCAGTCATAAATCTACTAATAAATAATACACCTGACTTTTCATTTTACCATTATCGTATTCCTTGTACTGTTGTTTATTCAATTTTTCTAGTTTTCTAAACTGGATGGTTATTAGATCCCGTGACAGGTAAACTGAATTTGTGTCGAACGTTATAAACTGCATAGAAAAAAGAAACGAACAAACAAACAAACGACCATTAGGAAATTGTGAAGATCAGGATTTCGGGTGTCCGATAGGAGCGTCTCCCCAGAATGTAATGACTGAGAATAAGTTCGTTAAATCGAATTTCTCGCCGAATGCTATTAACTGATGTTTCACTTGTGAGCTTGTGAATTAACTTATCTAATATCACATGAGTATATGGTACCCACTCATCCTACAGGCTTCTCGCATTTGTAGTGTTATTTTATCTATTATCTAAAAAATAATAATAATAATATATTAAGTGCGGTTCATTTTGAATTATTAAGAAACTGCTTATTATTGGATATCGTGTGGGATTTATTCATTAAACGGTTGTGAGGTGATATCTCATTAATAATAATGTTAATAGAATACTATGTTAGAATGTTTGCAAGTAAGCAGCTCAGATGAAAGAAATATCCAACTGGGTTGGCAGCTCATCACAATTTGCAGTTTAGCGTATAGACCTCTTTGTGTATTTGGCTCACATTGATTACTAGAATATTACTTTCTAAAAAGGCAGTGGACTCCACTTATTGTATGCTCATGTAATTCATTTATGTTCACTTAAACTCGCACATACAATTTATATAAATACACATACTGTACATGTTTAAATAATATCCAGATAGATGGATATATCGATAGATTGATAGATAGATAGATAGGAGCATACTGTAATTGTTTAAACAAGGGATAGATAGATAGATAGATAGATAGATAGATAGATAGATAGATCGATAGATAGGTAGATAGGAAGGTAGATAGATAGATACTGTCATTGTTTAAACAAGATAGAGATAGATATATAATTGATAGATTGATAGAGGCATACTGTAATTGTTTAAACAAGATAGAGATAAATAGAAATAGATAGACAGACAGGCATACTGTAATTGTTTAAACAAGATAGAGATTATAGATAGATAGATAATGGATAGATGGATAGATAGATAGATAGATAGATAGATAGATAGATAGATAGATAGAGGCATACTGTAATTGTTTAAACAAGATAGAGATTTATAGATAGATAGATAGATAATGGATGGATGGATAGATAGATAGTTAGATAGATAGAAAGATAGATTGATTTTCACTTCGTATACCTGAATATGAACCCAAATTAGGAAAGTTTAAAATAAATGTAAAAGGCAGAACAAACAAGATTAATTTCAAATGTTTGTTTTTTTATTTGAAATCCCACTCAAGAACGTAGGCTCATAATAAATATATCGATACTTATCAAGAATATATAAAAAATAAAGACCTAAAAAGGTCTTTTAGGTCTAACAAAATAGTTTCAAGCAAATGCCCAGGGATACATTTAAAAATAACATTAAAAACACAAATCAGGCAAGACAAATTAAAATTAGCCAATTTTTGTACTGAGGAGTTTTTGTACTGTGGAGTTTTTGCAAACACAGCATGGAAATGGTTAACTTAGAAACCAGATCTCTGCATGTTGTAGTTAGGGAAATACTCAAATGACCCCAGATAAAATCGTGTTTTTGTTTTCTCTCTCTTTCTCTGGAAACCAGAAGGCTCAGTAACCGTTATGTTCCCATTCCCTCTAAAGTTAAAAAAAAATAAAATAATAATAATAAAAAAAAAATACATATATACAAATAATAATAATAACAATTAAATCAGATTTCAAAGAATTCACAGATTAAATCCTTGTTACAAGGAAAATGACATGGTAGCCAAGCAAAAGTTTCAACAAGACTTGCTCCCAGGCTGCATGTATTCTTTCTCAATTGTCAAATGTCCCTTAAATCATACAGATTTTATACAGTCTCTTTGAAACATAGTATGATGGGCACTTGATCTTGAAAAAAACTTGTTCTGTATACCTTATTTTCATAAAATATTTACATTATAAACAATAGACGAACTTGGCAAAAAAAAACAACTAAATGTATCACAGCCAAACACCCATCAAAATCACTGTCTCTGTAAAGCTTTTTAGCAGAACACTATGGGCTATGTATAATGAGTAATTCTGGACATAGTTCTCAAAATCGAGTAGACTCCAAGGAAACCAATGGAATGTCCCTGTTGATTTCTCAACTTTTAGGACTTTGATCTAGAATTACTGTTTACACATGACCCCTATCTTTCCATATTACACATGTTCTGAAAAAAGATGTGTTATAGAAAATGAAGGAAGCATGCATACACAGGATGTATTTTCTGGATTTTTCCTGCATCAACGCAAATATATATTTATATTTATATATATATTTATATTTATGTAATTATTTTGAAAAGGTAAAAAGGGAGCGACAAGGACCGCCACTCTATATAGGAAGAGTCTCTAAAGTAGTAGAGTTTACTTCATCAAGTCTTTAGATTCTGCGGTGATCCTGTTCATGCTGGATGCCATGGCAGAAAGCTGAGGTGGTGGTGGCATCTGGCAGATGGTGCATGGGCATGGAAGCCCTGCCCAGTGCTGGAACCCGCTGCCAATAGGGAGTGGAGGGGTAGCTGGTGTTTTGAGGAGAGAGTGCCCAGGTCTAAGGTTGCCAATCCCTGGCAGAGAGGCAGAAAGCCCGGAGGGGGTGCTGGAGGACAAAGCGCTGCCTAGGATGGGGTGAACCTGGTGGACCGTGCTTGGGGGGTGGACAGGGTGGGGGGCTGGATGTCCTACTGTCCCACAGTGAAATGCTGAGTGGTGGCCCCCATAGATCTCACCCACAAGGCGCTTCATTTCCTCCAGGGAGCTGGTGAGCATCAGGATGTAGTTTCTTGCCAGCAGAAGGGTGGCGATTTTGGAAAGCTTTCTCACAGAGGGTCCATGGGCATAGGGCATGACTTCCCTCAGACCGTCCATGGCGAGGTTCAAGTCGTGCATTCTCTTCCGTTCCCGGCCATTTATTTTGAGCCTGAGTTGTTGCAGGTCCTGCTCGGACAGCTGCTTCTTAATCTTGTACTTGCTGCTCTCCCCATCTCCTTTGGAGCCATGCCTGGAGAGGACCTCCTCTGACATCTTCTGCAACAGGTCATTCTGGGTAGAAGACACAGAGTTCAGACGGTTGTCATGGTGGTGATGGTGATGGTGGCCTCTCAAGTACATCTCATCCATGTCTGGTGAGGAGGCTCTGCTAGACATAGAGCTGGAGTCAGAATTCATCTTGCTGAGAGCTCTGTGCAGTGAATAGCTGGACAGACAATCTCACAAAGTTCACTGGTGGAGAAGAAGTCAGGAGAATTGCAGATAGCACCAACTCTCTCTCTCCCTCTGTGTCTCTGGTGCTCCTTGCTCTGCGCTTCTTCTACATGGAATGGATTCTCTCTCAGATCCTTTCAAGCTTTTCTTGCTTCCAGGTACCCAGGGAGAGCTTTGAATGAACTACACAGTGAGGCTGAAAAGAGGGGCTTTTATAGAGCTTCTTCAGAGGAGACAGACAAAAGGAGCCCTCCTATCTATTATGGTCTTGTTAGGATGACGTGCTATTATTCAGGGCGGTTCTCTCTTTTTGTGATGCCACCCTGGGGTACTTTGGTCATCTCATCATCCATCCGGAGCCAAGGAAACACAAGCCCCCCTGAGTGACAGGCTTACTGAAAACTGACCACAGCATCCCCCTCCCCAACCAATACTACTCTCATTACGCACCATGACCAATGTTTATACATACATGACACATACACGTGCAACATATTTGCAAGATTTTATTTTCTGTTAAATACTTTTTTTTTCTTTTGCACTGGATACAATGTTTACCAACACAGTTAATAAATATGAAACCAGTTAAGAGTTTCTAAGCATCTTAGATACGATAAACACAATTTGAAGGTTGATTCTTTATACAATACATATTGTGTATGCCATGTGGATAAATATGCATGTGTTCAAAAATGCATACTTTGTTTTATTCGTTGTATTTATTTATTTTTATTGGCAAAGAACGATTTCAATTTCTTTTTCAAATTACTCATGATGGTGAATTTAAGGAAACTTTATAAAGTGCCACTAAACATTATCTACGAATTTATTTTACACTTATAAATATAGGAATTCGTACCATACAAGTTACAAATAATTATAACAATAATAATAAAAAACAGATAAATGTACAGCTGTGAATGTGGTATTTAATCTCCTCTGGATTTCCTTTTTAATTTAAGGATGGGGTTTATTTAGCAACCGAGGAGTTGCGGTAAATTCATAATTAAGATGAAAATGCAGAGCAGCCCCCCACCTGCTTTTAAAAAAAAAAAATCAGACTTTTTTTCCTCTTCACTTTTAGAGAGGATTTCAAACTGAACCTGTCCAATGCCCCGCAATTCGCTGTTTAGATAATAACAACCCTTTAGTAAAAAAACAAGACCGATGTATATAATTGTTTTAGAGATAGCACAATCCGTTAGATCGTTTTGGACATGTCTTGCATCAAAATTCTGTAGGTTTCTATTATCTTTATAATAAGACTTAATCTGTAAAACACTAGATTATCTAGCAGAATACTAGTTTAGAAATCAAGAAATCTTTTTCTCTGTACTTTTGAAAACAAGAGAAAAAACATTATGTTTGTAAATTTGTTTTTATTACTGCTCAAATATCACGTGAACTGTTATAATTAAATATGAACGCATTATCTAGACAGATTTTTGTCATCCATTCGGCACCTACATAGTTACAACCGAGCTATGATAGTTGTTAATACAGTATATTTGTATTTACTTTATTTAAGCTCAGTTTGGGATAAGATTCGTTTTAATTACTAAAAGAAGACAGCATTTTATGTAATAGTTTATAATATTAAATTAAGTATTTATAACATCTCAGTGATTCGGACAACTAAATATATGTTTTAAATCTATTTAGTATTGGGCGTCATAAAACGTAATGGCACTAAAAAGGGGTTGTCAAGGTTTAACCCCTTCTGCGCCGTGCGAAGATAAAGTTTTTCTGAAAAATAAGTGTAATCAGGCAGATTGCAGAGTTTAACCCTTTCCCTATTAGTATTAGTATTAGTGTGTGTGTGTGTGTGTGGGGAGAGATGGGGGGTTGATTACCGAGCAGACCAGCACATGGGGCATATTGAGAACCGCAGTATAAATTGCAAAATAGCTGAGATTGAGAATTTAAAATTTCAACATTTAATTGAAATTTATATCCGTTCCTCAGTTCTGGATATTTTGAACTTACTTTGTCAAGTCATATATTAGTACTCAACTAACCCTATGGTGCATTACATCTAGATATTCAAGAGTTAAATAAGTTATACTAACAACTAACGATTTAATAATAGAGCCGAATATTCTTCACTCATCACTTCACCCATCCTTAAAAATTAGGGATGAAAAACCATCATTTTAAATTAAAGGAAGATTTGATGCAGACAGAATACTGGAAATTGTATTCTTAAATATGACTTGTATAAAGAAAGTTTGTCTGAACTTTTATCTACAAGTGACATTGAACACAAAATGCATATAGTAAAATCGAAAAATATCAGGGTGGAAATATTTTCTGACTCGAAAGATATTAGGGGTTAGAACAAAATCACAGCATCGAAAGAACAACCACAAGTGATAGTAAAAGTTATCAATGACAAGTAATTTCTTACATCTATATCTGTGGAAAGATTTTCCCCTTTCTTGCATATTGTCCATTGCAACTGAAGTTCTGTGGGTTTCTATAAGGACTGCCTGTGTGTTTATTATTTATTATTGTGCTGTATTTGTGACAATGTTTCTATTCCAGTTATCAGATACTTCGTTATTAGCAATTGCAGCATCTAACCGGCCTCATAACTGAACCCAGCAATATCAATTATACTTCTCTTCCTTCCATAATTCACCAATCACCCGCACTTGTGAATAAATTCCTATGATAGTATTATTATAATGATGATAATATTTAGTATTACAATGATGACCTGAAAAACTGGAATTGTTTTTAACACTTTTTTAAAAACTTTTGATCACTATCATGTTCGCAGTAATACTTTTCCTAAATATCAGTGTTTTGCTCTAAAATCGAGTTTATTTAAGCCACTTAGCAGTCTCTAAAAATATTGTGCTTAGATGCTTAGAATCATCCATCCATCCATCCATCCATCCATCCGCCTGTCTCTATTAGTTTTCCTATCTACCTAATCACCAATGTAACTGGCTGTCTGGGAAACTGGCAAACCCTGTGTCCTTTTCGTGATGATCAGGGTGTGAATGAAGCATTAAGCCCTCTTTCTGATACTGAGTGGGTTATATCATGTCTTCCTTATGTGGGTATCAGTATTATCAATCATACAGGCTATTATATCCAGTCTAAACAATGGCACTGCTTTCACTCTGCGTTGTGTGCCATCTAATAACTCTCTCTCTCTTTCTAGAAACAATAATTAGATTGCTGTTGATGTAATAATGTATCAGTGTGTCACAGAACGCCCTGTGTGGATCTATGAGGATGCTGACGTTCGATAACAGAGCCTGTGCTCAGGGCTGAGCGGCCCATGAACTTCACTTCACACACCGTGCCCCGCCGCCTGGCTCCCTGTACGGATTAGACGGGCTGCGGAGGACCAGCTGCATTCATGACATTGAGAAAATCCAGGATCTGCATAATAAACTGGGACACGTTTCCTTCCATAAGTGTCACCGGAATCACCTTATACAACATTAGCACAAATCGCCTCCATGAATGTGAGGGTGGTGGATGGCTAATTTTCCAATCTGGCCCTCATTATTGCTTAATAATATATTAATATTGGTTCGGAAGAAATGAACGAACATGCAGTGTACAAAAAGTATTTCAGGGAAATAGGTCTAAAAGTGGAGCAATCAGCAGCATCCCGTTAGTTTCCATGGTAACTGCAGCACTTTCAAAACTTGCCTCAGAATTACCGTTTACACACAACCCCAGTGTCTCTCTTACATTCTCATTTTCGTTTTGAATATTTCACATGGAATAGATTAAAAAGGAAAGCAACCCGTGAGTCAGACATATTTAAACTGAAATTAAAAAAAATAAAATAAAGATCAGAAATATGTATAATTTATTATTTTAATTAGCAATCAATAACTTTAAATGAGCCTGTCACACACGGACTAAAATGTAAAGCTGGTTAAGTACAGAGCATATACACATTGTATTACTAATAACACGAGGAAGAGTGAGTTTTACAGTACAATGTGGGGCTTCTACAAATTACACCACAGTGTAATCATTTGAAAACTGAATTGAAAAATGTAGGCTAAAATATCCAAGCTGTGAGTGCAGCTAATTTAGAGGATTTTTTACAAGTTACCTATTTTTGCCTAAATGTTGCAACTCACTGTTTTAATTCACTATAATCCACCTTTTAGTGAATACTACAGAGTATTGCAGTAATGCATTAGGATTCAATTAAAACGCACTGGTAGCCAAGATATGGTTCTAACCGCATCTCAGATAATATGGTGACCTTTGCCCTTACAACTGCTGTGAAGCACATTTCACCCAAAGCTATGCAATATTGATTTGAGGTCATATATAATAGCTGGATAGCCAAATATCAGGATCACTGATACATAGCAAGACTGTTTCGACTCTTCCAATGTGAACAGAAATACAACAAACAAACAAACAAACACTTCCAATGCCTCAATATTGTATGGCCTACAGTTTGAAATCCTTACAAGTTTTTTTTTGGAAAAGTATTGCTCTTGTTCTAAAGCCAAATGTCATCCGTTGCCTTTGAGTTCAGGCCAGTCTTCAACTATCTGGCATTTCTGATGATCACAAAGTGACGGTGAAGACAGATAATATAACTTTAGTATGTCACAAAACTTAGAACTGTCACGTCACAGGGTGTTTTAGGTGCCTGCACATAAAAACTCATTAATGTCAGAAATACTTTTACAATTTTCGGATTATTTGTGTCATATATAAATATTCCAGGATGTATGTGCAGCCTTTGCAGGATTAAACAATAGACTCAGTGAGTGGCAATTTAAATAATTTTTAGGGTGAGTTTACATTTTTCTATAGGATTTATTTTGAAAGTATTGCTTACAGTGTCACTTGGGGAAACTGATTTAACTTTTGCAAGTTGTGCTGAGTCTCCATAATGTTGATTTAGAATGCTTTTAATGATGCTTTATTCAGTAGAGTGCAGCACACATTACAGGGTTGATCATAAACACATAGTTGGTAG